GTCCCGCCCGCGCCTCCTTCGAGCTGCCCAAAACCCCAAACCAGCCCCAAAAACCCCCGAAACAGCCCGTAAAAAATCCCAAAAAATCCCAAAAACCCCCGGAACATTCCGGAACATTCCCAGCTGGATCTGTCATCGCTGGGCCGGGCGTGGCGGCTGGAGCTGGGTCCCGCCCGCGCCTCCTTCGAGCTGCCCGGCGTGTCGTGCTCCGGGCTCCGCGTGCGGCTCCTGCGGCTCTCGGGGGCGGCGGCGCAGCGCTGGCTGCGGCACCTGAGCCACGGCCGCGACTACGAGATGAGGCTCTGAGAATTCCAGAGAAATCCTGGAATTCCGGAGCTCCGGAGACATCCCACGGCCGCCACTACAAGATGAGATTGTGAGAATTCCCGGGAAATCCCGGAATTCCGGAGCTCCGGAGACATCCCATGGCTGCCACTACGAGATGAGGCTCTGAGAATTCCAGAGAAAATCCCGGGAATTCCCGGAATTCCGGAGCTCCGGAGACATCCCACGGCCGCGACTACGAGATGAGACTCTGAGAATTCCCGAGAATTCCTGGAATTCCGGAGCTCCGGAGACATCCCACAGCCGTGACTGTGAGATGAGATTGTGAGAATTCCAAAGAAATCCCGGGAATTCCCGGAATTCCGGAGCTCCGGAGACATCCCACGGCCGTGACTACGAGATGAGATTGTGAGAATTCCAGAGAATTCCCGGAATTCCGGAGCTCCGGAGACATCCCACGGCCGTGACTACGAGATGAGATTGTGAGAATTCCAGATAATTCCCGGGAATTCCCGGAATTCCAGAGCTCCAGAGACATCCCACGGCCGCGACTACGAGATGAGATTGTGAGAATTCCAGAGAATTCCTGGGAAATCCCGGAATTCCGGAGACATCCCACGGCCGCGACTACGAGATGAGACTGTGAGAATTCCAGAGAAATCCTGGAAAATCCCGGAATTCCGGAGACATCCCACGGCCGCGACTACGAGATGAGATTGTGAGAATTCCAGAGAATTCCTGGAATTCCGGAGCTCCGGAGACATCCCACGGCCGTGACTGTGAGATGAGGCTCTGAGAATTCCAGAGAAAATCCCAAAAATCCCGGAATTCCGGAGCTCCAGAGCTCCAGAGACATCCCACGGCCGCGACTACAAGATGAGGCTCTGAGAATTCCAGAGAATTCCCGGAATTCAGGAGCTCCAGAGCTCCGGAGACATCCCACAGCTGCGACTACGAGATGAGGCTCTGAGAATTCCAGAGAATTCCTGGAATTCCGGAGCTCCGGAGACATCCCACGGCCGTGACTGTGAGATGAGGCTCTGACAATTCCAGAGAATTCCCGGGAATTCCCGGAATTCCGGAGACATCCCACGGCCGCCACTACGAGATGAGACTGTGAGAATTCCAGAGAAAATCCCAAAAATCCCGGAATTCCGGAGCTCCAGAGACATCCCATGGCCGCGACTACAAGATGAGATTGTGAGAATTCCAGAGAATTCCCGGAATTCCGGAGACATCCCACGGCCATGACTGCGAGATGAGGCTCTGAGAATTCCCGAGAAATTCCCAGGAAATTCCCAAATAAACAGCCCAGAACGAAGGAGTTGCTGCAGTTTTTATTGGGGGAATTTTGGGGTGAAAACGGCAAAAAAGGGGAAAAAACCGGGTGGGAATTTGGGAATTCCATTCCCAGAAAATCCGAAATGAGGGAAAGGGCTGCGGAGCCCCAAAAATTTGGGAGAAATCCCAAAAATTCCCCCAAAACCTCCAAAAACGCTCATTTTTTAACTGAATTTTCGGGTGAAAACCTCAAAAAATGGGAAAAAACTGAGGCGGGAAATTGGGAATTCCAGCCTGGGAAAACCTGGAGGAGATAAAGGGGGCGGGAACCCCAAAATATTCGGAATAAATCCCAAAATTCCCAAAAAAAGCTCAAATTTGGGGTTTGAACTGGGATAAAAACGGGAATTTTGGGGTGAAAACGCCAAAAAACGGGAAAAACCTCGGAGGGAAATTCGGAATTTCGTCTTCAGAAAGTCTGGAAAGAGAAGAGAGGAAGGAAAACCCCAAAATATTTGGGATAATCCCAAAAAATCCCCAAAATTCCCCAAAATCTCACCTGGAACTCGAGGCTGGAGGAGCCAAAAAGGTCCCGGGGCGGCTCCGGGGGGGTCTGGGGAGGAATTCCCAAAATTTTACAGAGAAATTCCCAAAATTTGGACTTTTTTCCCAAAATTCTGGGGTTTTCTTCCAAAATTTTCCGATTTTATTTCCCAAAATTCTGTTTTGGTTTTTTTCCCCCAAAATTTTGGGGGTTTTTTTGTTAAAGTTTTGAGGGTTTTTTCCCCCCAAAATTTGGGGGGTTTTTCCCAAAAAACCGGGGGTTTCCCCAAAAATTTGGTGGTTTTTTTTCCCCAAAAATTTGGGGTTTTTTTTAAAAACCCAAAATTTGGGGGTTTTTCCCCAAATTTTGGGAGTTTTTGGGGCTTTTTTGGGGTCTCACCCTGGGCGTTTTCGGGGTCTCCTCCCCCTCCTCTTCCTCCTCCTCTTCCTCCATCAGGCTCAGGCTGGGGGGACCCAAAAATCCCAAAAATTCCCCCAAAATTCCTTCAATCCCCCCCAAAATCCCCAAATTTCCCCCAAATTCACCCAAAACCCATCCCAGGACCCTCCCCCACAAAAAAATCCCGCCCGGGACTCCCCAAAATCCCCAAATTCCCCCCAAAATTCCTTCAATCCCCCCCAAAATCCCCAAATTTCCCCCAAATCTTTCCCAGGACCCCCCAAAAATCTTCAAATTGCCCCAAAATTCCCCAAAATCCCCAAGTCTCCCCAAAATTCCCCAAATCCCTCCCAGGACCCCCCAGAAATCCCCAAAATCTCCCTCAAAATTTCCCAAATCCCCCCAAAATCCCTAAATTTCCTAAAAT